TTCCTTCATATAATTTTTTAAGATAATCTAAGTTAACTTCTTTTCTAACAAACTTACTATTCAATTTACACAATCTCATGTATTCCTTCTCAATTTTAGTAAAATCTTTTTCTGATACAGGTTCACTGACATCAATATCATAGCAAAATCCTTCTTCAATAGCCGGTCCATTAACAAGTTTAGCTCCAAATAAATTCACAAGTGCATGTCCTAAAATATGAGCTGAACTATGCCAAAATGCATGCTTACCTTCCTTGGTGTTAAAATCGTACAATATAACACTATCTACATCTTCACTTATCTCTATCAATGATATATCAAGTAATTTCGAATCTCCGTTTTTATAGACTACTTTTGCAACCAAAGCTTCCTTCATCAAATCCAATAACTCTTTGCTATTTTCATCTATTTCTCCTATCATATCACTTCTATCCTTATTATAAATTATTTCAGTCAATCTAATATCTTTTTCACATTTTATATTAATATCGTTGTTGTGTACTGTTAATTTAAAATTCATGCTAAAAATAATTTAAATTTTTTTAAGCATAAAATATTAAAAACTAACTAATTTATTTCTTCTTCTTGTTTTTATTATTCAACGCATCTGTTATCTCTTTTATTGGTAATTTAATTTTAATATCTTTGTTTGTATCAACATTATGTAATCTAATTTCTGCATTTGTTAAATATGGTTTGCTTTTACATTTTTCTTCTTCTTTATCCTCACAATCATTATCTTCTTTTATTTCTTTATCCTCACAATCATCATCTTTTTTTATTTCCTTATCAATATAATCATCATCTTCTTTTAAATTAGCATTTGTTTTATTAACTGTCATTGTTTTAACATTATTTCCATATTTTGGTTTGGTTTGTCTTTTAATTAACTTCATTATTATGTTGTTGTTACTTTCTTTGATTTTATATTTATTTCTTTTATTATTATTATTTCTTATTATACTTTGTTCTTTACTTTTTAAATCATCATCTTTATTATTATAATCATTATCTTTAATAGTTTTCGTATTGATATTATTACTAATAGAACCATTTTCATAATCTTTTATTGTTTTTGTTTTAACATTATCTTTATTATTTATAACTGTATAAGGTGGTTTACTATTATTCTTAATAAAATCTATTTGTCTTTCCAATTCAACAATTTTTATATCTCTCTCTTTTTCCCTCATTTCAATTAATTCTTTTTCTGTTTTATTAATTATACTTTTTGTATTATCAAGTGTGCTTGTAATAGGATTGATTGCTGAAAAGTAATTATCAATTGATTCAGTAGTATTATCACTATTAATTGTATTGTGTGTTGCCATTTTACTCATTGAACTTTCTATATAACTTATTTCCCTGTTTAATTCTTGTATTTTCAAATCCTTCTCTTTTTCTCTCAACCTGTCAATTTCTTTATCCTTGTCTTTAATTTCTTCTTCAATTGATGTGACCTGTTCAGGCATGACTTCCTTCTTTTTAATTCCTAATAAAGATTTAATTTTATCTAATATTTGTGATTCATCTTTATTAGTTGATACAGGTTGATTATCTTTAAAAATAGTTGATGCGTTGATTTTTGAAGGTGATCTTTTATAACTAATTGTCGGTTGATTATAATTCGATGAATAGTTGTTATAATTAATAGGTGGTTGTTGTTCAACATTGCTTATTGGTTGATTATTATTTAACGAATAGTTATTGTTATAACTTATTGATGAATGTATATTATTTGATTGAGGATAGTTATTAATTGGTAATTGATTATTATTTGATAAGTTATTGTAATTATTTAATGTTTGATTAGTACTTCTAGGAATTTCTCTATTAATAGTGGAAGATTTATAAAATATTGATTGGTTATTAAAATTTTCATCTTCACTTGAATCTTCCTTATCAAAATTTTCATTAATAGTTTTTATCTTCACACTGCTTTTAACTGAATTATTTTTTCTTAATTTAGTTTTATAACTAATTAAAGGTTCATTATTACTAGTTGTTACTGTTACTGTCTTTGTTACTGTAGCTTTATCACTAACAGTCTTAGGGTCACGAT